TGTTTAACAGAAAAGCCTACTGAACACAAATAATCTCCCCATTATCTGGAAATCACAAGCAGGGCTCCAAGATCAGAGCAAGCATATAAGACTTCAACAGACTTCAAATTCAAGGATATTACCTTGGCACATGGACAGCAGGGTGTGTGGCTGCATAATATTGCAGCCAGTGGTCACTATCCCATTCTATCCCTCCATGTAACTTTGTAACTTAGACATCTCAGAATCCTTTATGTATTACTGCTGTATATACTATTGCATTTGTTTAGTGTCAACACTGTGTTATGCCTTAAAGGCAGCATTTCAGGAAGATTTTTTTTTTTTTTGCTATTCTGTGTATTACTTAACAGCCAGTGGTTTAAAAAAACACATTTTTGTGGAGAAATTCATTTTGCTCTTCCGGAGTTATGTCTTGGTATTAAGTTCAGCTGTAAAAGGAAGTGACAACATATTCAGTGGGTGATGCTGTGCAAAGAAGAGAAGCTGTTAAAGATGTACAGGCTTTTAATAATACTAGTAGTCTATCAGGCATGGGCCAGATTTCTACAGAGTTGTCCTTTGGTGGCAGCCATGATAACCTGTCAATGATTCCCAGGCATTAATAAGCAGAATATGATAGTTGGCGTCAGTCATCTCAGAGACAGAAATGGGGAGAAAGAGACATGGAGCTCAGGATGGAGGACGGAGCTAGCAGCAGGAATACATAGATAAGAGGGGGATTACTACTAAGGTGAGACAGGTCAGACAGAGGAGGGGCACAATACACAACACTCAGGATTCACAAAAGCAGACAAATTCTTGGATCTGATTTTTTTTATGCTGCTGGGAAGTTGCATGCTTGTTTGCTTCCACACAGGTTAAAATCTTTGCTGTATATGGGAAAAGGAACACACAGGGGGGAAAGGGCTCAGCCTGCCTACCCTTCTTCTCTACATGGGGCAGAATATTTGGAGAAGGAGGATATAATTATTGTCCATTCAAATGTATGAGTCCACCCTTCACAGCCCGAAGTGGTAGAACCCAAGAACAGCTTTACCAGTGGATATCACTCAAGGTCTAAACTATACCAAATTTTTGGTAAACAAGTTCTCCAACTATTGCTTAACTAATTTCTATCAGAACAAACAAGGTTATACTTTAATCATGCACACTTTCTCTGTGTATGCACATAAGAAACTGAGAATGTGAATAAGCCTTGTCTCCAAGGAGAATCCCCCCCCCACATGAATCCTTAAAAACAAGCAGTAGCTGTTCTGTTAGGATACAGGGTTCATTAAATAAAGGAGATTAATTACTCACATCTTGATCTGACAGTTTTTCCACTAACATTTCTTCCAATTCCTCTTTAATCAGCCATCTGCTGCCAATCAGGTTGCTGTTTAAAATATCACATATATTCTCTTTTTAACTAATCATGCAATTAGATTAGATTGCAAAGGGCCACACATACAGTCACACTTCATTTAGAAATATACTTTTCTTTTTAGTTTGGAAAAGTGCAAATTTTCCCTACAAGTATTCAAGAAGCAAAGAGGTGCAGTTCCAGCTTCATAAATTTACTACAATAACACAACAAACGCAGTTGATAGTTTATTGGCCAAAGATCAGTTTAGTTTAAAGACTGATTTTATACAGGACTGAACATATAGGAAAAATATTTGTACTACAATGAAATTTGAAACAGGGTTCCAAGTGAAAATATACAAAACAAAAGACTGTAAACATGAGCACACTGTTCTCACTTCCCCTTCCCTTAATCTTTCCTCTCAATCTGGTGGTAGTTTCACTGCTTGAATCATGCAAATGAAATATGTTATCTTTTGGGATTTCTTATCTTATACAGCTTATCTATATATTCTCTATCCCAAGGCATACAAGCCAGGCACTGGCCCATGCTTAATAAAGGCAACAGTGGTGAGATTCAGCAGTAAATAGGTTCAGCATTAACATGTATAGGGGGAAGAAAAAAATTAGCCATTCTTCACTTTCATCTGTTTCTCAGTTTATTAATCAACAGTGAGCAGTGGAATTGTGAGTGCATCCTGGATTGAGTTCATTTATCAGCCTGTTTTGTTGTACTTTTTTCTGTCTAACTACACTTCAGGCTTTCTACTTTCCTTCTGCTTTTTCTCACACTTCAACGGCTGTTTTTTACTTTATGTCCAGCCTTTGTCCTACATCCCACCCTACACCTTTTTTCAAAAGAATTCTCTCCCATCTTGCTAGCTGCTGCTGCTGTTTCTTCCATTCTCTCTCTCCCTGATTTATACTAGATGGAAACCTTCCCTTTGACTTGATGGTTTATATTCTAAGCCTCGTCTTTTTTGACATCTTTTAACATTATTCTTAGGGATTTAAATCATGTTATTTCTGTATTCCTAGCTTTAAATTCCTTCTGATTGCAACTTCCTTCTCTTTTTCCAATTTACCTCTCACCCATCCATCTTCTAACTTCCATTCCTTTCCTCAACCAATATCCATTTCTAGTAAGGTTTTGCCAGATATCAGTCAAGCTGTTCTTTTGAAGGTTTGACATGCCCGTTTATCTGGCACTTTGTGGTTCTGACACAGTCTTTTGGGTGGTGCAAAGAGACTATGCAAACAAATAATCTCTAAGGAGTTTATCAGACAGGAGGGAAGCATCCAAATCTCATGGATAAATGGGGATTAAATCCAGGAATATCTTGCAAGAGCGGGATTGCTTTCAGATGATGGCCCTCAATGTCACCATTATCCTGGAATTTGGGAAAATCCTAAAAATAAAAAGTGGTGTGTTTTGGCCACTTTATTCACAGGTTAATTCCAGGATAATGGCAACGTCGGGAAACATTGTCTGAAAACAATCCCGTTCTTGCGAGATATTTCCAGATTTAATCCCCATTTACTCATGGGATTTGGGAGCTTTGCTTCCTGTGTGATAAATTCCTAAATCTCATTAAAAATTTGAAAGGTACCTAATGCCCAATCACACTTTCAGCACCATGCTTGTTCTTCATTCTTAACTTAAATTCTGTTGTTCCTGAACTACAGTAAGCCCTTCCTATATAGAAGGGAACTGTTCTGGACTACCACCCTCTGCATAAGGTAAAAAATGCAGGACCCCGAGTCCTGTTTGTTTTAATAGGTGTGCGCTCCTGTGCATGGCGCAGTGGGCATGCGCCCCATTCACTCTTCTGGGGCTCACCATCCACATGACCTTGAGTCCGTGTACAGTGAGCCAGCATATGGCATGGGTGCACTGTTTATCCACTCCGCTTCACCTTTTGATTCACCTCCCTTTCTCAATCTTCTCCTTTTTTCCATCTCCTCTTTTTGACTGTTTCTCCTCCAGCCCTCTAATATTTTTGGCTTTCAATTCTTTTCCTTCTTTCCTGGCTTCTGCCTCAAAGTCATAAGTTGTTCAAGAGCACTGAAATCTTTTAAAATATTTCCCTGCCTCTTTTTTTTTCTTGAACATAGAATCTATATCAGGGGCAGGGAACCTTTAGCCCACAAGCGTCTTCTGCTATTACCCCTCTGTAACGACTGAAGATAAGTGGGTGTTTAACCTTTTACTATCCTGCATATAGTAGAAATTAGATGAGCTTTGTAAACAGGAAAACTGCTGCATGGGATCTAATCTGAGCTTTACAAGAAAAAAAGCTACTGCACTGACACTAACTTCTAGAAAGACATGTGGAGAACTTGTGGGGTAATTGAAGTTTACTAAGGCTTCAGCCTTTTTAAAGAAAACAAAAATATTTAAATATCAAAAACCAAGCTTGTTAGAGTCTGGCTTTAAATTAGCAGAGTAGCAGAAGAGTGACTTTGCCTAACTATGGTCCCCTAAAGAAATAAGACTGACTCAAAAACAATAAACATGTAGGTTGTAGTTTATGGTGTACTATATATTTACATAAAAGAGGCCATATCCTAATCTAACTAATGATGGTTTAGGTAAAGAGAAATATTTATCTCACCATCTTTCAAATAAAGTATAGAAAGTAGGAAGATAGAAACAGCTCAATTGAGAATCTTGAGAGAAACTCTATTAATCCCAAAGAGGGAGTTACCTAAGCCACATGGTTAGCTTAAATGAGAGGGAGGAGTTTGCAATCAGGACATCCCCTATCTAACTAAGGTGGTGGTGGTGGTGGTGGGGGGGGAAGAATGCAATGATCTTCCAACAGAACTGAATTGTGCTTTATATATATTTGGTAGGAATTACATCTTTATCTGCCACCTTTACTTTGTCCACCCATTGCATTCTGCATTTGATAATTGTTCATTAAATACTCTTGTCTTACTCTGTTGAAAAAACATGTCTAAAGAATATTCTTTTAGTTTTTTTTTTTTAAAAGCCAAAATGCCCTGTTAAGTTCTCATATGACTATTAGTTTGCTTTTTCATCACAGTAATTAACTGGCTGAAAATCTTGACATAGCTGTGGGACTCGGGTTAATCATGACTAACTCTGATGCTGATTTTAATAGGACAATTAAGTCACTGCCCAGTAACTTAGCCTGGGTCTACCTCAATGTTCTTAAAACAACATATTAAGAACTCATTTGAAAAGTTTGCATAAAAATGCTTTACATCACCCCATCAAACTTTTATTCTTTGTTCTAATCTGAGAGAAACAACTTACAATTGGTTTTTGTTGTCAGGAGCTGATCCTTGAGCATGCAGTTGACCTTGTTCTTGAATATGCAGCAGCTTGCCATAGATGTCCTACAATGCATAAGAATGTGTAGATAGGTGAATTATAGTTATAATAATGTAAAGAAAACAAGGAAAATTATCCAACTTGAATCATCCCCAGCTCTCAGTTTAGTCCTTAAATTTCAAGGGACAAAAGAGGAGTGCATGTGTATATAAATGGTGAATGTACTTGTGTGCCTTCGAGTTGTTTCCAGCTTATGGTGACCCTAAGATGAACTTATCAAAGAGTTTGTTCAGAGGAGGTTCACCATTGCCTTTTCCTGAGGCTGAGAGCATGTGACTTGCCCAAGGCCACTTCATAGCTAAGTTGGGAATCGAACCCTTGTCTCCAGAGTTGCAGTCCAACATTCAAACCATTACACCATGCTGGCTCTCAAAAGTACTTGCACAGTGGGGTTATTCCCTAAATTATAAATTTGTTCTATATGTCATGCTATTCTCTAATATGAAAGCATCTTACATTGGGGAAAATCGTTTTCAACCAATGTTTACAAATAGTGAGCTTATGAAAAACCTTTTGAGAAAGCCACACTAATAAAAAGTGTCTGTTCTTGACTGGTAACAGGATAAGCTTGTGTAACAATATTTTAGAGCTAGCAGCACAGCCAGTGGATCTGTTGCTGCAAAGCTGGAGGTTGCCCTCTTGTTTTTAGGGCCACTCCTCCAGTTGCTGCTCCAGATTATATGGGTGCTCTCCCAGAGGCGACCCCTTGACAGGAATTAGGTGGTCCCATGCAACCCAGGCAGCTGTGGGAGAAACAGCCATAAAATAAGAGGCATGGATCTGTTTCCTTGTGGCACGGATCTGTTTCCTTGTGGCAACAGATCAACCAGCTATCAACCAGCTATCCTATTAGCTAGTAAAGAAATGTATTTCATATTTCAATTAGAGACTGAAGAAAAATACAGAACTTCAATTAGAACATTTTCTCAGGACCGAGGGTGGTTTTGGTGTCATCAAAACTAAGGAATCTGCACACAAATAATATTAGAACAGATCCCCATTGCAGATACCCTCACAATGAAACTTTTTTTTTTAAAAATGGAACGTGCTGGTTACAACTTAAAAACTATATCAAGCATCTGTATTTTCTCCCCTTTTTGAAAAAATTGGGTAAAATGTTCTCAAAGCTTCAAGTATGCTAAAAAGGAAAAAGCAACATGTTATTTTGTCATTATCCTTGCAAGTTCTTTCAATCTTGAGATGGGAATAATATAAGATAGTACTACCTGGGTAGAAGCAAAGTAAGATGTTGCTTGACTTACTGTCACCTGGGATTATAGCAGGTTCAGAAAGCTAAAGAATCCCATAATGGTTCTAACTGGATAGTTGTTTCCAATCTACAGCCATGTGGCGAAATAAATGGTATCTGGACTGGAGATTTATCTTTCACAGTTGGTTCAACTGAGGCCTTGGGATTTTCTGTTTTAAATACATTTTGAGAAACCTTACTGAAGTCTCCTCCTGAATCTTCAATGGGCTTTATTATGCCTACACACTTATCAGCTCTTCTCTGCACAAAGGACTGTAAAAGTTTTTTAAATCTGCATCAGATCTTACAACCTAAAATGGGTAACTAATCCAAACAGTCTTATTCACACGGGTGTGATTCTGAACACTGATGGCAATCCATTCTCCTGACAACATGCTGAGGTTGTGTGCAGGCAAGGTAAGAACAGGCCACAAAACCTTAGGAGGATAGTTCATAGCAACTCATACAATGGAGCTTTTGATAGAAACTTTTCTAAATATTTCTCAGCCTATGTTACTTTGTTGTTCTCAGATAAAATCTGTGAAAACATCACTGATAATCTGAAGAGTTTTTAGTTACTGACAGAGTAAAGTGTAAAATGGGGTATTTTTTCAAGTATTTTGATTATTTTTAGATTGTATTAATGTTTTTAGCATAGATGTTACAGTACTTATGTGCAAAATTATTTACAGGATAACAGATCAATGGACAGGATAATGACACACCTTATCTTGATAAGTGTAACAAAAGTAACAGAAACAGAGAAACATGTCAACTGGCAAATATTCACAACTAAGACATTTGAGACAGAAATTCTTGCTTCTGCAAAATGGAGAGGTGATGGCAACCGCTACAGTCAAACGCACACACATATGCCTATATTGCTTACAAATGTAGCTATTTATGCAGTAGATTTTATAAAATATTTGTAAACCACACTCATATTGTCATAAATACTTCAGCACTTCAACCTTGATCTTAATAGTTTTAAATAATGTTACACTGCTGGTGGATAGTAAGTAAAGAGCAAGTAATCATGTCACTCAATTTTTGAAACACATCTTGGAAGAACAGACTACATAACCATCATTAATATAGTTTATGTAAGTTTTTATAACATTAGCCTTACAAAAACAAAGGGTGCAGTGAGAAAAAGAAAAATAGATGGGGGTTATAGGGAACCACTGTAGAAGGCCATTTTGTGCTTTAAGGTTGGAAAGAGCATTTTTATATTGGTTTTTAAAAATATTTTAACAATCAAAGATAACATATTTTCACTTCTGAAACATGTGAAAAAGTTTGACTAATTTGTTATATACAGTTGGACATAAACTGTACATTATATTTGAGGTTTAGCATTTTAAACATGACAATGATGCTGGTGCATCAGAGTTTGTATGAACGTCACTTTAAATTATTCTAGAACAAACATCAGGGGTTAAAATTTCTCTGTATGCAATTGAACTACACAAACTAAACCCTTCTGGCTCAAAAGTATTTACATGAACTAAACTCTTACAAAGCAAAATCACATGAACTCAATGCTTATGTTTCAATCTAAACTGTTTTCAAAAAAAGCAGAGAAGACAAATGAAGCTAGGATTATAAACAACACTGGTGTTACACAAAACTCTAATATCTAAGAGATACATGGAATGGAATATAAATGATACAGACTCTGTAAGGAAACTTAACATTATAGATTATTTGCACTTATACAAATGGCAGATTTAACCTGCAATGAGTAAGTGAAATAAACCAAGGAAATGGAATGCTGAGGAGACTCATGGAAGCACAATTTCTTTTGTCAAATGTTCAGATATTATGCCAGACATTATAAAATGCAGTCTGTGCAGAATGCACTAAATTAATATATCACTGTTCTATATTTACTTCTAAGCATCAGTTTTGTACTTAAGTATATCCCTGATTTCTGTCAGCCTAAAAATCTTGTTATAAAACATTATATACATACATCACATCTCCTTAGCAAAATGTTATCAGAAATCCTGTTTAATGATATTATTTATCTTATTTTTTAATGAAGACATTTCCAAATGCCCTGCTCCTACTTAAAAAAAACTTACTAGAGATTCATCAATAATTACATTTGTGTTTGTCAAAAAGATTTCATATAGAGAACAGCTTAATCAAGTAGCAAATGACACTACTTTTTCAAAAAGCTCAAACTCAGGAGAACCTTATGTACTTTTTTCAAAGGCAAGGCATAGCTAAAAAACTAAAGTTGTGCTCCTTGTAATTTTTTAAACATTTCTTCATTATGATGGAATGCAACAAAACATCTTGCCCTTGGGTTGTTCTGTTCCAGCCAAAACAAATGCAAATAGCCTGTCAGATGACAGCTGCTTGATAAGGCTCCTCTACAAGACCTGCATGCTTTACTTTTTTCCGTGAAACTTGGGATGAAAGGCAGAAGGCAGGAAGAGAATTAATGTAGCATACAGTCTAAAGGCAATGCTACAACCGTGATTAAGTAGAAAAGCTAAAAGGCACAGATTTTCCACAGCCTCTCTGCGTGCAACCCATCCGTGTAACAAGTTGACAGGCCTAGCGCGTCAGCTCCATCATCCTCTCCGACAGCTAAAACGCAGCGCTGCATCCCTTTTCAGAGAAAATTTGCGTCTGCACCATGAAGCGTTGTACATTATTTCTTAGCACTGCAGGGGGCTCAAGTCCATATGGAACCTTCACAAATATTACCACAGATCAAACCAGCGGCATTTCGAGGCAGATTTGACATACCTATTTAAATGAACAGTAGGGGTCCTTAGGCTGCCTCAGGCTGTGCAGGAGAAAACCTCTCTGGAAAGCCTCTGCTGCAGCTCCATTACTCAGCAAAGACACACACTACATTTATCATTCATTTCATTTCTGCCAGGGCAAGAAGCTCATTTGCCCAAGGTCAACCAAAAGAAAAAAATAATTCCTCCTTCTCCCTCTAAAGAAATAAATGTACCTGACAAGTGGGAATTTTGTCCTTTGGGTGTGTCGAGTACAAACACATTAGGTAATTCTAAAAAACCACACCAAAGCCAGGATTTTTGTAGAAATCCTCTAAATGCTACTGAAGCCTAATAGATAACAAGGGAAACCAAATTTGGCATCACCACACCAAAGTTATCCCTCTGCAAAACAGTGTTCTGTTTTCTGTAAGTGAACATCAGTACATTGTTCAGCCTTCTAGAAAAGTCAATGAATTAAGGTCTATACCTGTGTAGTACATTGTGCATATACTATGAATGCTTTGCTTTTGCAAGTACAATCAGCAATTCTTCAGTTATTTTTAAAATTACAGTTACTAAGAAGGTAACTGTACAGTTTCATCAAAGAATTGTCTTCCTGGATCAACCTGAGTTCCATCCAATCCAGACATCTTTTTCAAGAATGGTTACTCAGAAAGGTATGCTTCTTTTGAACATTTAGGCAACCTGGTGCTCTTCAGATTTCTCAACTAAAATTCACATCTGTCCCAGGCAGCACAACCAGTGGCCAGAAATATTACTTTAAAACATTTGGAGGGCATCAGGTTGCTTATTTCTGAGCTAGGCAGCAGAGAAAAGACTAGGGTGGTAACCTAGATACTAACACAAAAATCAAATATGAGATTAACTGAGAACTTTCACCAAGTTATATAATAACTGAGTAGGAAGAACTCTTGTGGTAGACACAATATTTTCTGATTAAGATCACCAGATTGAATTAACACAGTTAACTCTGTGCCTCTGCTACATGAGGAAGCAGTTTTCTATAGCTTCAAAATAAGGGGGCTGAGGCTAACATGACAATCACTCTGCAACTGCTCAGAAATCTAGCAATGGCAATGTATGGCTTAACTGTATTATCTCAGTGGCTATAAATGCAACTCTGTAATCTGGCCTGAATCTGGCCCCAGGTCCTAAACTGACACCTTTATATTTATGAGGAATGACTGAAAGGAAATTCCTGCTTCTCTCTCTATTGCTTGTATCCCCAGACCAGCATTAGAATATCTGTAAAACTGCATTTAGTACACTCTTTCCTAAGTAGAACTTCTATATACTTGATTTTAACAAGAGAGTCTTTTCTGCCTAGACCTGTTTAGCTTTCATTTTCCTTTCT